TGGATAGATGCGGCTTAAGTTTAGTTAGGTTTTAGTTAATGTGTTTCACTTTTGGTTTATTGTGTAAACAAAATTGTAAACCAATATTAATTAATAAATAAAAATTTAAGTGTAAATCTATGTTTTATTTTATTTTTTTAAATTTTAATGTGTATTAATTCAAATTATAAAACAAGAAATATAGGTAATATTTAATATCATATAAGTTAGGAAATAGCGTTATATTTATATATATGTAATTATAAAATATTTTATAGCACTATAACAAATGCATGAAAAAATAAATCACGACACAGATAAAATGCTAAAAAAAACTACCAGATAGCCGATGTTTAACGCTATAATATATCTAGTTACAATAATAGGACATGAAAATGCGCTACAATAAAGGAATGTCTATTATATCTGTGGTTGTCAGAGCATTTATAAAAACGCTACGAAAACTATATAATAACATTTTTCAGGTGATATCAATACCGATATTTCTTTAATTAGTGTTAATAAACTAATTTCCACAAATTAATTTTTATGAGAATATAATTCATACTACTGAAATAACACAACTCTGGGTTTTAGATTATAACTTATTCTTTTTATTTATAAAGATACAATGCTAACTATGGGGATGATTGGCAAGTGTTTTAGAAATGTTGTAAAAACCACACACCCAAATTATTTTTAGAGCATCAAAAGTTTCCAATCATGTTTTGTAAAGATTACTTAAATCCACATATTTTTTTTTCCTTTTTGTTTAATCTTGGTTGTGGAATGTGGAGCATTTATTTTTTACTTTAGAAAATTTATATGTAAAATTATTAAATTTGTTTAAATATACAACTAAAATTTTTACAGCTAAATTATCTACAGCCACAACAAAAAAAATTTACAGCTTAATTTTACAGCAAAATATATAAAACTACAATTCATTCCAATTAGCCTCATAACTATGTTTTCTAAATGTAACTATATGTGTAATTATTTTTGACTGTACATGCATAATGCATTTTAATATGGTTTCAAACAAAAACTGCATATAGTCATATACTACCAAATAAGATCTCTTAACTTTATAAATTTAGTAAATTAGTAGACATATATTTTATTTGATCTTGATATATTTCTAATTTTATTACAACTAACCTATAAATAAAATATAATTTTTAATATTATCAATAAAGAAATATAGCTGTAAACAAGATAATTTTATAACACATATATATTTTTCTAAAACAATTATATAAAATGTGGTATATTTTTTTTTGAAATGAATATATGGATTCCTTACCTAGTATGATTACAAAGAAAGTTAAGATACACCTTTATTGTCGGCAGTTAAATATTACTAGTAAATAGGTACATGAATTTTGGAACTATTCCAAAATTATTTTAGTTTATTAGTTAGAAATATTTTTCAACGTTTTCATTTCTCTCTGTGCAACACACAAAAACCACCGATGATGATGTCCGGTGAAGTAGAGCAGTCGCGCAGAAATAAGGGGAGTGTTGTGTCTCTACCACCGTGTGAGTTAATGTCTTTGCCATATGACATGGTTCTAAACTGCTTGGCCCGCGTGTCGAGATCGGACCTTGGGTCCTTATCTCTTGTCTCAAAAAGCATCCGCTCAATGGTGGCTTCACCGGAGATGTACGAGACCCGATCTCGAATGGGTTTCAGGGAGGAGTCCATCTATGTATGCTTGGACACGCCTTGTGGGAGAAATCCGGCGGCTTGGTTCATCCTCCGGCGAGTAAAGGGAAAAATGAATCGGCTGATCCCGATCCCTTCGTTCCCAACTCCAACCGGAGCTACCTTTGTCTCCACGGGATGGGGGATTTATGTAATTGGAGGAATGATAGAAGCAGTGACGACATCGCGTGTCTGGTTCTTGGATTGTCGGACTCATACGTGGAGCGAGCTCCCCTCCATGAGAGTTGCTCGCTATGAAGCCAACGCAGGCGTCTTAGACGGTAAGATATACGTGACGGGGGGCTGCTTAAACGAGGATCCAGAGGTTTTTGATCCAAAGACTCAAACTTGGAGTAGAGTGGTTATCCCTGAGATGGTGATGAACGAGGAGGTTTCCAAGGTGGCTGGTCCGGATAGTTACGTGTACAAGTTTTGGAGTGAAGAAGGTATGTGGGATGATTTCTTTTTAAGCGCTAGAGATGATTGTTGTGCAATAGACAGATTGTTATTCAGTTGTGATATTTTCGGGAAAATAATGTGGTGTGACCCTTGGAGTGGGGTAAAGAAAGGGGAGATGGAGTGGTACAAGGTGAATGGTTTGGAAGATCTTCAAGGGTACCTCAAGTATGATTTGAGGAACGAAATAGCCATCATTTTGAATAGAGAGCAGGCGGATGTTTGGCATTGCTATATGCTCAACCGTGGTTACAGATACGGCCTCCTAGGCTTAAATCCGGGGTTCAAACTCAGCAAATCTGGTGGCAACATTGTCGTCTTCTGGGGGGTGATCGTCCCACCCTATAGGATGCAGGTTTGGTGTGCAGAGGTTTCACCGGAGAGGCGCCAGGATGGCCAAGTTTGGGGGATCATCCAGTGCATTGATCATGTCTTCACTATTGATCCTGCCCTCTATGTTTTGTCTTCTATTAATGCTTGTCTTTGAACATAATATTTAAGACTTGTGATACTCCTCTTATTTATGTTGTTGATTACTGTGAATGATGGTCAATTTGGGTTGAACTATTGAGATTAGACATGTTTTCTACAGTGTTTCAAAAAAAATAAACATTCATTACATTGAATTATTGAATTGGTGCAGATAGTTTCTCCTTTGCTCTGACATTAAGATAGTTCAATACCATTTTACTAACCAGCAGGATAGTATCATTGCACATTGAACACAGAGAATGAAATTGTGTTTGGTGGTGAAGTGGTGGAGACGTCTGTGTTGCAAAGAAAGTAATGTCGATGCCATTAGTGACAAATCAAGCATCATATCTACTCAGAACCATATTTCCCGTAGCTAGAGCATTCTATGTAAGAAATTATTGATATTTCAAAATAGACAAATCTTTCTCATGAAATTACAGCACGTCTCATGATTTTACAAGAATTTATTTTCAACATAGGAAAGAAAATTTTTAGTTAGTTTAGGTAGTTTAATTTGTTTTTAATTAGATTTGTGAATAATTAATATATTTGAGTATATTTTATCAAATTTTTAGTTTTAAAAAATATTTTAGGTTATTTCAGGCATTGTTTATAGTTTTGATCCAAACCCGATCCGATAATTAGTAAATTCTGAATGTAACTTATGAACATAATATTGAAAATTCAAAGATCCAAATCAACCAAACTGAATTTGATGGAGTCCTTAACGTCCATGCTTAATTTTTTTTTTTTTTGATTAACATAGAGGTATTCTAGATCCATAGAAAAACTCAGACTAATCCACCAAGGAGAGGTGCACACTACGGATAGACAATCTCTCCGGACATTCAAATGAGTCCTAAAGCATGGGCATATATTCGTGTTAGGTGGTCAAGATATTGTGATTTAATTTTGCGCAGCAGATGGATCAAACCTGAAACATTTAGTGTCCCAATTCTGCCTTCTTACCACTCGACCACAGTCACATGGTCATTTAGTTCAAATAGTTAATTATAGTATTCAGCTATTCTTGATTGTTATTGTTCAAAGATAACACATATTTTGGCATAATAATGCTGCATTCTCTTGGTAAATTTTAACATCATCCAATCGGGTTCTTAATCATCTTAAGCCATCGATTATATTGTAAGTTGTAACTCTCTGTTTTATTTATGAAGCTGGATAAGCAGAGGAAAGGAAGCTCAAAGCTCATCGCAAATAAAAAAGGTGGCAAAATAAATGAGTGAACTACAAAAGGCCCCACTCAGAACTCAGAATTAACGTTGCTCGTTGCTGTCACGTGGAGAAGTTAAGGTTCCCCTGCCACTTCTCTGCTGTATTGTCTATTTCAAAAGTTAGGTTTAAGAAAAATGAAGCGCATAATTTAAAATATGTATTCTACACGTGATTTGTTTTCAAAAACTCTTGTTGTTTTTACATACTTCACTAATATATACTTCATAATATATATAGACTGCACGCATGCATCCGTTGTCATTTAAAACACAAAAGTATACACTTTTACAAACCTTTAAACGTAAGAAAAATAAGTTTGTGGTCAACTTGATTAGCTTAATCTGTATACGATAAGTCTGAACTAGATTCCAGAGTTGAAGAGTTATGAAAGTGTAAGAATAGTGTAGTAGAGAAACTAGAACACACAGTAAGACATGATTATTTTTCTCAAGAAAATACGATTAGATAAATCCTTTTAAAAGTTCATATAAGACCTTCTTAAAAGCAATTCTCAGACAAGCTCAAGATAATCTTGACTTGTTGACTAGCCTAACCTATTCAAGACTTACCAAAGTCGTTGAATTACTTCTAACCTTTAGACGTTTTGTCTCACCTTACTCAGACTCACAAAACTCTATTTAGCTAAAAGTTCATCCAGTGTGTTGGCCGACTACAACCCTGCCAACCCTCTCTTTATACCTAGAGAGAAGATACTAAGTTCTACCTAATAGAAAGTTTCCATTTTCTATTACAGTGAATAAGACAACCTTCCTCTTTTCTGGATCGATTGCTTCTTCTCCACTTATTTTCTTTAAAGCCCACTTTAAAGAATATCTTCAGATCTTCATTAAAGGCTCCTTCTTTTTCTTGCTCTTGTTATGACTCCACGTTTCTCCCAGTAGTCATGCCGTGCTTCATGAATTACTTCAGCTTCGTCTTGAACTACTTCAGCTCCGTCTGCACCATGCATGTTCAATCTCCTCCTTTATAATCTGTGCGTCTCACAAGTACTTGAGATGAATACAACCATACACACACAGAAAAGCACAACTCGAGAGAACAATTCATGCAAGAAAAAGTACTTAGATATCCTAAAAAAAAAGGTTCACATACTTAATACATCTCCGAAAAGACAACACACATAAGTACTCCCCCATAATCGATGAATTGTCTTAAAACATAAATAAAAACCAGTTGCAGCAAGTGGTGCAACTGGTGAGTACAGTGCAAACAGAATTACAAAAAAAAGCAACATCATTGTTCCCCCACAATCATCGCCTTCATCTCAATCTTCTCCCCCTGCTTGTGAGCACACAGGTTAAAAACATACAAGTAATAATCAGAATAGAGGAGTCAGAATGAGAAGTAAACTAACCAGACACCGAGCGAGATAGGTCTGCCACAATGTCAGTCAGTGCTTGCAGAGCCTTGGCTGTGTCCTGAAGTGTCTCATGAAGCTCTGCCTGAGTGATCAGACCCTGAGGAACAATGATAGTGCCCAGGTCAACCGCGGAGACCCTGCGAGGACCAGTCTTGCCACTTGGAGCTGGTGGTGTTGGAGCAGTAGGAGGACGGGCTGAACGAGCAGATGTACCTTTCCCTTACCCTTTGCCTTAGCTTTGAGTACATAATAGTTCTCTCCAACTCTCTTGTCCTTCTTGTAGGGCACATGCCGAACTGGTTTCTCACCATTCTTTGGCTGAAGGGAGTGTTGCTTCTGGAGAAATCTCATGATGAGACGAGGAAAGATTAACCACCGAGAATCATTGCACTGAATCACTCCCAGGTTCATGATCTGCTTAAAGATCAAGCTCCCCAAATTAACCTTCACACTGTGAGCCATCTTGTAGATCAGCTTGGCTCTGTCAACTGACACATGTGTCTTGTGTGTGGAGGGAATCCAGTTATGTGCCTCAATGATCATGAGGGCGCCATAGCGAGGTGAGAGATCGGTTGTGGTCATATTGTTCCATGTCTTCTTTGTCTTCTCAGTCAAGAACTCAGCTAGTTTAGTGACTGTGACTGCATCAATGGTCTCTTCCTCTAATTCTTCTTCCTCAGACAAGGGTGAGAGTCCAAGATACTCATTGATGATTGAGGCAGAGAACTGATACACTTGACTCCTGACTCTTACTTCAACCTGACCCTCATCATCTTCCACCTTTACACTCGAAAGACCTGCATATAATTCAACCACCACGTGCTCTACATAGCTCACAAGCGATGTCACAGTCGAGATCATGCCCCCCTTTTTGATGATATCAACATACCCCCACTGATCTTGTTCCTCTACATCTATACTACGTTCAGCAATGAAACTACGTCCCACAAACTGATCATACCTCTTCTTGATCTCTGGTGGAGTAGCTGAAGCACCTTGACCTCCCTTCTTCCTTGATTTCACACGATCTGAGACAGAGGCTTCCTTTGTGAGGATGGGAGATCTTGCATCATCCTGAGGTTGCAAGAACTGAGATTGCGAAGGAGCACTTTCGTCTCCGGTCTTGGTTTTCTTCGAAACTGGAAGACCCAACATTTTCAGGACTCTCTTCTGCCTCGTTTTGACCGGTGGAGTTCCTTCAGACGTTGAACTTAACTCCACCGCATCCTTGGCCTTTTGTGCAATCGCCAAGACAAGATCTTCATGTTCTTGAGGTGCTTCTTCCTTCTCCTCTGGGTCGTCTTCTTTCTCCTCAGAGCCAGATTCAGCGTGTTTCTCCTCTGGTGCAGACGCAGTGGGAGAAGCTGGTGACTTTGCTGCGGCGTCCTCTGGTGTAGTTGCTGCCACAGGTACTGTAGATGTCTCGGGAATCGGGTCATTGCGATGCGAGGTACCTTGATTCTCATCACTTTCCTCCGATTGAACTTTCTCGTTCGCAGTGTTGAACGACTCAAGCTCATCAGTAACTTCGGGGAGATTCGCCGATGGAGCTGGATTGTTGCGAGGAGGAGATGGTTCAGGTTCTCTGTCAGCGAGTCGAGGTCGATTTGACTCAGAGGCTGCATGCACGGCTTGATTTGCTGAGGAAGTTGCTGCGGTTATCTGCTTTGTCTTCGGCATTTCAGAGAGAGAGAGAGAGAGAGAGAGAGAAATAAGCTCACGATTTGGAAATGGAGAAGTGGAACCCGTTGAAGTAGAATGCAACCGATTAGGGTTTTACCCCACTATCTCCACTAAGAGGGAAACTCAACCAACTTTTCTAAAATTGCACATATGGTCCCTATACTCGTTCACTTTCCCTTATTGAACCTACTCTTTTTATTTCTCTCATCCAAACCCATTAGCAAAGACAACCACATTCAAGAATCTCAATGTATCATAAGACTTTCAATTTAGAAATTAAACATGTGCAACAGTTCACAGTTGGCCTTAATCTGAATGAACTTTGAAAACATAATTGATTTTGTACTTTTTAAATAAAATTGTGTCTGATCTGACTCAGCACCTAGTTCAAGTTGCACATATGAGACTTGTAGATTTTATGATCTGGTGGACTCAATAGTCTTTTTATGGCTAGCTTTCACATCGTTGTACCTTCATCAATTCTGGTGGGTTTTTCACTTCCTTATTCAACGTGAGTGTGCTCCCCATTTTTCCTTTTCTTTTTCTTGTATCTTTTTTTGTTTATTTTTCTCTTTCAAACTTCTTCGCCCTTTCTTGTGAGGTGATGATGTTAACTCTTAAGGGTTATCTGAACATTCACACACGTAAAAACTTGTACCTCTCAGCAGAATTGACGGTACAACAGGTAGCTCTTTTCCACAGCGTTCTCAAGTGCCAAACATAATCTGAATCATATGTACATCTTGAACCAGCATCTGTGTCAAACCCTGCATCACTTGACTCAACAATCAAGATTACATACCCCAATGGCA